TATACATACTCCAAAGCTTATTATTTTTTTTTTCTTTTGGAATGAAAATGCACATGGTTATTTGTTGAACTCAGTGCATCTTATTAATAAGGGAGTTCTAATTTTTTCAAGTTTTTTATTTTAATTTACAATGATAAGATAGAATTTTGATGGTCAAGATTTAGTGTAGCTTTTAAAAAACTGAATATTGTCCTCTGTTTTATTTCTTTATACCAATAATCCAATATAATATGGTCCTTTGTTTTACTATATATTTTCCTTGTTACTTCTATATTTTTTTATTGTTTAGTATTGACTGATATATATTTTTTTTGGGTAAAGAATCTATTTCAGTTTCAAGCTCCAGAAGCAATTGCAAAGCGTTATTGTCTACTTACCATGGGAAGAAGGTTCAAGAATCGCAAGTTAAAATTATGGTATAAAAATTATGACCCACTAGATTCTAGAGAAAAACTAATTTCTAATGTCCCCACTGGTGTTCCGAAAGATCAATGGTCGTCATTTGTGGACTATCATTTGAAACCAAGTTATAAGGTAATTTTATTTGATATTGGTTGCTTGTAATTGTTTTTTAAAGTTGGCAATCTTTATTAATATCCTGTTATTATCATAGGAGTTATGCCGGAAGAATGCTTTGGTTAGGAAAAAACAAACAATTCCACACACCGGGGGATCCAAACTGTTGTCTCGGAGAAGACATGAGATGGTAAGTTACTTGTGTTGTGTCTTGTTAGGTCTTATGTAATTCACATTGCATCTTATAAGAGTAAATATTTTATAGGAGGAAGAGATCGGACATGCTGTAGGTCGAGGTGAACTTTATATTGCAACGCATAAGAGAAAAGATGGGTCATATGTTAATGAAGAGGCAAGGACTACAGTGGTAAGTCATACTAATATTTTCTGCTTTTAGACTATAATAATGCATCAATCGATGTCTTTGCCTTCTTTATTATTATAATTTAGCTAATCCTAGTTGTGTATTATTTACAAAGTTATCATTATTATTTGTCCCTAGCTCCATACATGTATTTATTTCTCCTATCTTGTAATTCCTTATTAAACTGTTGATGGAGTTCAAGTATAAGTAATTGCTTCATTTAGAAAAATGAAGAAGTCACTCGAGATCATTCATTTCTTGTTGCTGCACTGAAGGAATCTTCACTGCTTGTACGATTCAAATCCTAAATAAGTGTCAGTAGAAATTTAGGGGAATATCGCATATTGCCCCAATTTCCATTCTTCAATGTTCTTGTTGGTCAAGTACTTGAATGTTTGATGACATGGCCACAGTAATTGGTGCTTCCAGCAAGACTATGACCACACTGTTTCTTAATTATTTTTCTATCATATTAGATTCATGAATTTTTCTTACATGTACAGGAGAAAATTCATGAAGAATTAAGTCAGAGCACTAATTTTACTGAAATTTCAAGAAATGATGCGGTTGCGAAAGTGTTGGGACCAGAGCACTCTGGTCGTGTTCGTGGTTTAGGCCTAGGTGGTCTTCCTAGTATTGCATTTGGACCCACCATAGGATGATTTAATCATTCAGGCTCTATTTTCTTAAGTATGAATCAAGCTGAAAATTCTCAATTGAGAAGTGAAGTTACTACTTTGAAGACCAAGCTAGTAGCTTCTGAGCAGAATGTCAAGACATTGCAAACAATAATGCTTGCGTACATACAAATGAAGGAAGGACAAATTCCTCCGGAGTTGGATGCTTTGTTGGGTATTGCTTCCATTCCAATGGTAATGATTTCATATGCTTATTTTTAATATTGAACTTAGTTACTACTTCTTAAGAGAAAGTAAGTGTCTTATTCTTTTAAGTATGCTAAAATGGTGCAATGTCTTTCGCAGGATGAAGGGAGTGAAGAAGGTATCCCAACACCACACGGAAGCTCTTCATTAGATAGTAATCTCTCTTAACTTGGGTTTTGTAATTAGGGTTAATTTCAAAATGAGTGATGGATATACATCAGTTGAGACTATTATGAATTGTGGGATTTTAAGACAGATTTATTTTACTTGATGGAATTGTTATTTCAGATGATAAAGCTCTGGCTGAGTTACTGTAGTTTCACACCCTTAGACAGGGGTGTTTGTTATCTCATCTCAAAACAATCTACCTTTTGCATGGTGCCAATATAAAATTCAGCTCCTGGTTCACAATTGGAGGAAAAAAGAAAATAACAATTGTTTGTTATCTCATCACAATTGTTATTTGTGTTTGTTATTAGTAATGTTTATATGAAAATATACTTTCCCATGTTTTATTTTATACAAAAAATTCGATGAGATTTTTTTATTCATCTTTGTTTTAGTTTTTTATTTCATAGAAGAAAAAAAAGAAAAAAATGTGTTATCAGTAAAAGTATATTATTTTTCTATTTGAAATGTGTTAATGCTGATACTTATTGGGATCAGTTTCATATCTACTTTTTAACTTGTGGGTTTGGTCAAATGTAAGGTCCAAAGACAATGACAACTGAAACATGAATTGTATCGATTAGTGTAACAGCCCGTTACGTACCGGTATTGTTAACATTAATTATGATATTAAGCGCAGTTACAATCACAGCAGTTCATTTAAAAAAAACGAGAGTAAATTTTTTTCGACTATTACGCGAGCATTTAAATCATAAAAAGCGTAATAATTAAAAGCTGTGACCGTAACCGTAAACTCTTGCGGAAGACTTATTTCAACTATTTTTATAACTTACATCATTTATTATGAGTTACTAAGGAGTTCCCATAAACTCACTTAGCCTATTTCCAACTTTACATTTTTACCAATTCGAACATGTTTCACTCTAAATTTTTCTGCGACCAAACCGATCGCAACTAACCCTTCTTCTCAGATTATATTTTTGTATTACTTAATTCCATTTTTAAAAAGCTATCATACGCTCAATTCGGAGCTCATTTGCTCCGGTTATCGCCGTTTGAAGTTGGATAAGCAATTAGCCCAAACAACCCCAAAAACAGCTCCAAACCACTCACATTGCTCGAATTACTGCACTCAATCTACTCAACCATTTGCTCTCAAATTTTTATCCTACAAACTAGACATCTAAAACTTCATTTTGATATATCACACGCTTAATTTGGCGGAGAAACGAAGCGGGAATTAATTTCCCAAATCCGGTCCAGAATCTGCCTCAGGTGCAGGGGCACATGGGCAGTCCGCGTTTCTCTATTTATTTCAGGCCGAAGATCAACCCAGAATTTCCTCAAATTTTGACACAAGGTAGAGGACATCTCAACCTTCAAAATGGCGTATGGAACGTCCCTAGGGGACCTCTATGGAGGGAGATATGCTCTCCCAAAGTTCGCCTAAAATCTGCCAATTCTACAGAAAATTCGCCAGAGTTTCCTTTGTTTTTCCAATAATCCCAAATTTGTAAAAGATCATTTAAACCTCAAACGTACCTAATAAACACATGATAATACAGTAATCCAATGGGTGGCACACACAAGGACCAACAACGCCTTGGGGCACTTACAACCCAATCCAGTTTATAGTTATTAAACATAGAGTCCATATTAGTCATTCTCAAGTAGTTGCAATCACTAACACCTTTTTCATGCATATTTCCATCATACATATTATCATAACCTAAAATAGGCCTAAGGCCCTTCCATCATAATTAGACATGCATCAATACTATTACAATATGGCTTTACAAATTACAACTTGAAACTAAAACTTCAAATTACATTCTTCTAAAATTTCAACTTAATTTAAAAGACAACATAACCAAATACATCACTACTAGACTTAGGCAAAATGGCATGAACAAAATGCTAATGAAGCTACTAATAAATACAAATGACATGTTCATGCCCTAAGTCTAGCCTAGGCCACACGGCCAACAAAATGCAAAATATGAAGCGCTCCAGCGCTCCTGCTCCACTGCTATCTCCTGAAATAATTGCCCCGAGACGGGGTGAGATATACGAATATATCTCAGTAACCAAGAGGTTCTGGAGAAAACTCCATCCAATGGTTCACTTCGATGCATATCAATAGAATACAACAACCACTTTGAAAACGGGATATAGCAAGGGATTTAGAGAATGGGGAATATAAAGAAAACAAAATACGACGATACGGGATGGTAACCCCAATTCCACGTACGCCCTCGGCATATATAAGCCTATGGGTATCATCCAAGGTGTGTTCACAGAAACCACAACCATGATGCCCAAACCAACCAAAACGCCAAAGACATTCCTAGTGTGCTCCTACCCGGATCACACACCATGACGCGCGGTCAACTGGAACTCCCTCCTGGAGACCTATCCAGCGGAAGTCCGAAAATGCCCGAAGGCTAATAAAACTGTCTACTGGCCAGAGACTCGGTACCGCAGTACCCATAGCAATAATGCATGCATGCTCATGTGTTCTATACTATTCATACACACTTCCTACCGTTGCCATCAACTGGCAAGGTGGAACAGAAAAGGGGAACAAGCCCCAGTACCAAGAGGTTACCTTAATTCGTGTTTCCACAAGCTCCGCAGCAGCTTATCCCTCAACTCGGTACACAGCGGAATGCCTACACAGAGGACATTCCCAATCACTCTCAGTTCAACCCATACATGTTAATTTATAATTACACATGCAATGAACCAATTTCTTACCTCAATCCACTTGGTCCCGGACCAAGGGCAACTCACTGATTCAAGATTCGGGATTCAGGTCGACGTACGGCAACCTATACAATAATGTACATCCATCAGTACTCGTCAAATAGTATCAAAACGCAAAAACACAAAAATCCTCCCTTGATGGTTCGGCCATTGTAGTGTAAATGTGAGATTTATTTTTCTAAATTTTCTTTCTCATTTTGTTACGTCTCATTAGGTTGTCAATAGGCCAGTTCAAGTGTCGGTTCGTCATTTTCGCGTCGAATTACATCAAAACGCGAAAATCGCCAAATCACCCCTTTTCCCCTTGGAGGTTCGGCCATGTAGGTGTAAATTTGAGATTTATTTTCCTAAATTTTCTTTCTCATTTTATAACACTCCCTTAGGTTGTTTAGAGGCTAGTTCAATCATCGTTTTTCCGTTTTTCGACATTTACGCATCGTTTTGCGAAATATTTCATTCTGGGCTCATTTAGGTCTCTAACACAATTCATTTTTTTCCATTGATTCAAACACTCTCCAAGCACAACACAACCCATCTAAGCACCATATAACTACTCAAATCATCATCCAAATCATTTTTCAACATCAATTCTTCAATCTTTCTTAAAAGAATCGAATTTTACCCTATGGCATTCCAAGGAATTTCCATACAACTTTAATCATTCCACACCTCATACAATCCTATTATATCAACATACAATCATACAACAACTCATCAATCCAATCCTAACACATTTTCAAAACTCAAAGTCATGACAACCTCAAAATTTTCTAAGTTAAAAATTCACATTTTTCATCAATAAATTTCATCGCATTTCTAGCTTTAATACATCATTCTAACACATTATCATCTAATACACATTTTCAAATTGAGCTCTCTAACACAACACATCATCAAATCAAGCTTTAGGTTTCCAAAAATTCAATCACAATTAAACCATGTAAATGGGATGGAAACATACTCACAACAAAGGCTAGAAGCTAACCCAAGACTCCTCCAAGCAATGGAAGATCAAAAAGCTCCATGGACAACCATTTTTTCTCCAAAATTTCATGGCTGTAAATGGCCAATATCTCCCCAAATACACGGTTTCAAGGCTCAAGAGTGGTACCAATGTGTTTAGAAGGTTGTTTCCAACAAATTTCAACACAAAAATCACTTGATTTGGTTAAGAAATGATCAAGTTATGGTGAAAAGAAAATTTGAATGCAAATGGGGTTTTTGGGGAGGGGGCTGCGGGTTTCATGAAGAAGAAGGGAGGAAAGTGATGCATGAATAGTGCCAAGCACATGTGGCTTAAGTCACTTAAGTGGGGTGGGTCCCACCGCCACCTCACGCGATTTAAAACTAATCCGAATTTTCCTCCGATTCCACTAAACGTCCGTAAATTCACAACCTATTTAGAAACTCAAATTTTTAACATTAACTATTCCCCTTTAATTAGGCTTGATCAGGTGAATTAAGAGTCCTCCATTCGTTCGGAGAAAACACTGTTTTAAGCTATTACGCGCGCCATTGGCACGCTTCCCCAAATTGTCTTAATTTTATCGAATATTATAAGAAATCATATTTCCTAACTCATTAGACCATTTTTAACTCATATTTGAAACCTAGAGCTCAAAATTCAACTGGCACGTTTTACGGTGCAATCGTAACGCGATATTTTTACCCGCGAAAAACACTATTCACTGATTTTTCTGAAACTTGCCCATCCACTCAATTTTATTTTTACCATCTGAGACCTTCTACTCAATTTTTATCTTCCTAGGGTTGCGTGTTGGCTAATTACCGTTTTGCCCTTTCTTTGTATTTTGGCCTAATCTTTAGGATTTTCACTAATTCATCACTTGATTGCTCATTTAATATTTTAATTAATTGATTTA